GGTTTTTCCCCCCCCCCCCCAAAAAACTTGTTTATTTACATTTTACTGTACTCAGAACTGGAATATAACAGACCCACTTTAGATATAGACTGATAGGATTTTTACTTCAGCAAGTTGGGGGGAGTGGGAACTTGCCAGTTGCAACATCCTTCTGCCCCCCTCTGCTGGCTGATACAAGCAGCCACAGATATGAATGGGGCCCTTTTTCACCCCACTGTTTCTGAGAGAAATAACGAAGGACAGGGAGGGAGAAGGAGAATGAGAAAGCAAGAGAAGGGGAAAATGAGATAAAAATAGCAATCAATCCTGACAAAAAAGGTATGGAATGAGATCTTATAGAAATGCTTTGGAATAAGGGCACACTTACCAAACATCCCTCTACACAAACAAGGAAAAGACAAAAACCTGTATCTTGAAAAACTAGAAAGTGCTATTTAAACAAACCAAACACGGAAGCTGTTACTACAGAGCCTTGTGTACTATTGCTTCTGAAACTCTCCAAACAGGTATAAGAAATGAAACTGGCTTCTTAGAATACGGAAGAAAAAAAAACCAAAAAACTGTTCCTATCTGGAATATATATGGGCTTGTTCAAACATACACACAGTAGAGCAAGTAACTACATATATATAAGGCCCTGACACTTGTTGTGCTGGCATTGACTAGCAATATACTATATTGTTGTGAAGCTCAGATCTGTGTGAATTCTTTACCATCTTCAAGAAAAATTACAAACGATAAAACACACAGTTAAAAACGTGGACTTTTTAGAAGCCAACTAGCTATTCATTCAAGAACAATAACTGTCCAGCCCCAAACAACCCAACCCTACTCTGATATTTAAATAGTTGCCTGTTAGGCTCTCCTTTTCAATTGTGTGACTGAATGGAAAAATCTGATACCCTCAAGATACAGTGACTGATATTTATCAAGTGATATTTGTTTGGCAAGAAAAAAAAACACCAAAGCAAAACAAACCCCTGGCACCTAATTGTTTTATTTGCTTCCTGCATAAGGGAAAAGGAATTTTCACATATTGAGGGAATCCCTTGAGCAGGCAGAGAGAATTAGAATTGTGACAGGGCAAACTTAAAATTCCAGTCCAATTCAAAGATGCAGGATTGCTGCCACACCAACAGAATTTAAACCTTAGGAATCCTGGCAGAAGATGTTACATGATTCAGGATATGGTGGCTACAAATGCTTGATAGAGCTCTATTATAGTCAACCACTATTAAAAAAAAAAAAGAAGCACCAAGGACTTTTTTCTCACCAAGTATAGTTTGATGGGAGAGGCCCCGTTTTTGGTTGTAGACTTCTCAGAAGTTACAGTATTCGAATACACTTTTTTCTGCACTCTGTCATAAGGCCTTCCATAACATGTACAAAAACTAGAGTACAGTAAATTTCATGTGTCTTTGGCAAGGCTGCCTTCCACATTAGCTGCTATAGTCTCACTCGTTATTCTGCAAGCCTACAACAACCTGTTTTTTAAAAGACATTCATCTCATCAGAATATGAACATTAAAAAAAAAAATCTACGGGTCTGTATAGAAAAGGTACATTGCAATTTATTTTATACCTTTATAATATAAGGCCCTAATCTCTATCTGATAATTAGATTAGTAATAACTTTTTAAAAAGTCAGATTTTTCTGGTAAATAAGATTTCAAAACAGAAGCTGTAATTAAATTGGTAGGATAGTAATCCAGCTCATTTAAAAATATATCTATCATTAATATTGTGCTACACATAAATGAATATAATATGAAAACATCCATTGATAAACTGCACTGATGGGTCACAACCACTCCTGACTGCATGCAGTATAGCTAGCAAAATGTACTGTATACTATGCAGTATGTACTCCAGAGAACACTAAGGCATACCTTTCAGTCTTTTGGAATTTCCATTCTTTTGCTGCTCATCTTCTTCGTTAATGGTGAATAAACCAGGGGGATTTGTCCTTGCACTTGTCTTCTTCAGTCTCTCTTGTCGGATAGCAGTAGCTGCCCCAGGCATGTTTCTGCTATCACTTGCTTATTACAATATATATATATATATTTAAGCAACTGCAGTGCCTGTGTGGCAGCTAGCTGCAGACCTGCCTGTTCATTTGAGCACTTGTAATAGATCCCCTATCGGTAAGCAGTATGCAAAGAGCTGACAAATATCAACATCCACTTGGCAGCAGAGGGCCTGCAATTTCACCCACCTTCGAGAAAAGCCCTTATTAAAGGCACATTGGTTTGGATGCCTCTCTTCGCTGCTTTAACCTGTTCAATCAGATCCCAGCCCACAGCTTCTCCTTTCTGCAGCAGCACCTCTTTCCCAAGCTTCTTCCAGCTACAGCACACTAAAATATTCAGCACGCAACACAGGAGGAAAAAATACGATACGCCACCGTTAACAGTTGCCCTGACAACAGTGACATATCCTAATCAAAGGAAGTCTATGAATGTTGTCTCCTCAGCTGCAGAAAGCAGCCTGCCGGAATGCTTGCTCCTGCATGCTTAGCGCAAAGGGTTACAGTGTAAAGAGCTGTAACCACCTAGTCAACTGGGCTGCTCCTTCGCTCTGCGCAGGGCGGTAGGAGGATGGAGTTCTGCTTGCACAAGCAGATGAGTACTGAGCGAAGAGAAGCCTAAAAGGCTGCAGGCATGAGCCTGCATTTTGCCAGCTGTTCTGTTTATTAAAGTTTACAATCCCCAGCCTAACCAAAACTCAAACAACATGAGTTTTTCACTTAACACCTTCACGAGCATTGCATACCTTTTGCAATAAGAGTACATACACCCAGGATTACTGGCAAGTGTTGAGTTATTCATGTTTGGAAAATGTAAGTTAGTGTACACATTTTTCTTGTGCAGGCAATGTGGGCAAAGAAAAGGCTGCTTAAGTTGAATGTACAGTGAATATTCCCTATTGCAATGTCAGTTTTACAGCAAAGAGATCATTAATGAACTACAATTGGTTCTGCAGAAAGGCCAAATTACAATCAATTATAACCAGCTAAGTTTTCCCCATCATGATGGCAAAGTTAACATAGTGATTCTAGATTCTCATTCACCATCCACAATGAAGGACCTGCTCACACTTTTGCAATCTTCTAATTTTTTTAAACTATTTTTGCACAGAATCCAATCATCGCTGTGATATGCAAAGCCCTGAACAGCTGATTTTGCAGGTAAGCTTAGCCTCCTTTAACACTTCCACCATTTCTCAACCTCAAGCTAAGAGCACAGTTGCCACACCAAATACTATTAATCTTTAAATTTCAACCAAATCCTAAAAAATTATTTGTATTCCCAGAAATTGCTAGGTGTTCTTTTCACATCTAAATTTCAGAATCAGAAATTTCATACACCTGGTCTAAAATGTTCTCCCTCCCGCCCCCCACTGTCCATATGTAGATGGCAATACACAGCAGCGTAAATGTTAGAGGACAATACAATAGCAATAGGGAGCTCATCTTGCCAATGCAGATGATATGAGATATGCAGCTGAAAGGGTGTCTCATCTATAGGTTTTGTGAAAAAACGGGCTGAGTTAAGGTTATTTGAGTTACCTTTAAACTGCACATCCAAATTGGTTGCCTGGAAATAGCAGTATAATATACCTTGCCTGCCATTCTCCCTGAGGCTAGGGCCTTGGGAGGTCAGCAAGAGGTGACAGTTCTGTTCTCACACACATTAGTCATGTCACTTAACAGGGAAAAACCGGGGGATGATGACGCATAGCATTAACTGAGCTCAGAAATGTAATCATAGAGCATTCATGCTCTGTATCTGAGAAAGAGAAAAAGGTACTAAGAGAAACAGTAAGGTATTCACGAAAGCACAGGCTTTGAGCCAGGTCTATTATCTCGCTTGCCTGACCCCCATATTTCCTTTTGACCGGGGTCCTTGCTCTTGGCAATATCCCAGCTTATCTGGGTGTAACATGTAAGTTAGAGACTGATGACATTTGTATAATAATAAGGTAGAAGGTGCTTTGTATTGAAAGGTGTTGGCCAAACGTAGAATTAACAAACAAACCACTTTGACACAAGTTGTTCCTACCTCAGCAATTTGCCTTCCAGTGTTTATTCAGGCTGCTACTTTGTATTGGAAAAGAGAAACTGGAAATAAGCTTCAGTTGCTGAAACCCTGTCCAGGTACCTGCTTACTACAACAAAGATTTATGCAATTGTGGGTACACACCCACATTAATTAGAATGTGTTTAACCTCTTGTGTACCATTCATATTTTCACAGGTAGCTAGGCTCTGTTTCCAAAACAATAGAAGAATTTAAAGTGCATATGAAAAGTGCTTATACTATATGACTGTTTGGCTAATAATATCATTTCACTTCCTTTCATGTTTACAAATACATATTTTAATAAAACTAAACTCCTTTTAACAGTTCCATTTTGCAGATATTTTAAAACAAACTATCAAATAGCCACTTACAATACCTGTTCTATTTAAACCATTAATTTAAAAATGAAAAAAATTTGTTGGGCGTTTCAGCAAATACACCAATGATTGAATGGGCCATGTAGACTTAAGTACAATTTCATTCTTACAGGTGGTCCTCTCGAGTCAGGAAGACTGGCCCACAGAGATGACAGTTGGGGAAGTTGGCACTGTTACTTCTCATGTGTTACCGCTACGGTGGATAAAAGAAAGGATATCACGCTTTAGGTTTGAGAAGGACATCTTTCATACATATTTAACTCACACGTAAGTGCATTTAATATGCTTAAATAGTTATTAAAGGAGAATGATCATTATTTGGAGAAGCAATATGGTCTAGTGGAGAGAGCACTGGACTGGAAATCAAGAGACCTGGGTTCTATTTCCATGCTGCCATTGACCTGATGTGTGACCATGTGCAGGCTACCTCATCTCTCTGTACTTCTGTTTCTCCTCCCAGCATTTGTTTGCTTTTCTGTTTACACAGACAAGCTCTTTGTGGTAAAAACTGTCTGCCACTACATGTTTGGGAATGCCTAGCCCAATGGGGTCCCAATCTCACTTGCAGTCTCTACATGCTGCTGTAATGCAAATAATAATTAAAAGCTAAAATATCAGGCAAATACTCTAAATGCATAAATCCAGAAATGAAAAAATTCTCTGGCTAGAAGTAGAGACCACTTGTTTATGTTATACAAACATAACTACAACATTTTAATAATTAAAGTGTACTGTACAATCAAATACACTAAGTAACTTTGTGCTCTTTTCCCTTTTTCTTCCTGATAACACTATAAAATACACTCAATTAAAATACAGTACTGCGATTGCTTAAAAACAGACCATTTAATAACTTGGATTGGACTCCTTTAAAATGGTAATACTGAGAATCCCTAATAAGTAAGCCCAGTAGATTTTAGCCCAGACTTGCCTGGGTATATGGAGGCTTCTGTATCAATTCTTTGCTGAAAGTAACTTTCTTTCATGAGAAAAATTATGGATAACTTAGCATACCTACTTTCTATTGATTGCAAAAATTCTATGCCTGTGGAATCTGGTAATTGCCTACCTCGTATACTGCTTGATGTGTAACACCCATAGGAAGCAAGTGAAACAAAGAATACAGGATAATTAAATGGTATGCTAGGAGATGAAAATACTTATATACTCAGTGTGTTAATTGCCGTTTGTGTAATAACACTCCATGCATCTGATTTTTAAATTTGCACTGGCTTGCACCAGGATATCTAATGCTCCAATCCTGCAATCAGCTACTCATGTGCTTAACACAGGTGAGTAATCTGACTGATTCCAATGGCACTACTCACACGCTTCAAGTTAAGCTTGTGTGTGACTGATTGCTGGATAGGGACCTAAGTCAACAACAGACAATATAAATGTTTTCTCCAAACAATTGCTTAAGCCATTTTTAGGTAATGGAGATTGTAAAGTGAGAGAGATAAGAAGACATGGTACAACTTTAAAAATAGAAATGAAACAGACTGCATATATTTGAAAAATTGATCCATATTTTGATTATTAGTCATTCAAAAGTAGTGAAACACTTTCGGCTACACTTCTCTAGTTACAAACTATAGAAATGATCCCTGAAAGTATAGTCTAGTACTACACAAGTAGTTAGCCTCTTGCAGAAAAATGATAGACGTGTATTGAGATAAAGTGCTTGCTGGAGGGAAAAAAAAAACACCCTGTCTCCTTTCCTATACAGAACTGGGTTTTAAGTAAATACAAGATAGCAACTAGACTATGGTTTTAAAAAAACAGTCATGCTCAGCACATGAATCACTGAAAATGTTCACAAACTATGGCTCCATCCTTGCAAAGGGATCTGCCCACTTGGAACCTATGGCTGGTCTTCACTAGGAAAAAAGTTGTGTTCCTACCATGTGATAACTAACACGTTGTAACTAACGAGGTAAAATCCTAGTGAAAAGAAGGTACTTTGCAGTTTCCAATTGAATTAGCAATTCTAAGGGTAGGTCTACACTACCCGCCAGATCAGCGGGTAGTGATTGAACTATCGGGGATCGATTTATTGTGTCTAGTGTAGACGCGATAAAAATCGATCCCCGATAGCTCTGTCGTCGACTCTGGAACTCCACCATGGCAAGAGGCGAAAGCGGAGTTGATGCGGGAGTGGCAGCAGTCAACTCACCGCCGTCCTCACAGCCAGGTAAATGGACCTAAGATACGCCTAGCTATTCGCGTAGCTGAAGTTGCGTATCTTAGATCGACACCCGCCCCCCCGAGTGTAGACCTAGCCTAAGTAAGCCCTGGGCTCCTCCAGAGTCTAACTCTGTGGCTCTCAACCTTTCCAGACTACTCTACTATCCCTTTCAGGAGTCTGATTTGTCTTGTGTACCCTCAAGTTTCAAGTCACTTAAACTACTTGCTTACAAAATCAGATATTAAAAATACAAAAGCGTCACAGCACACTATTACGGAACAATTGCTTACTTTCTCATTTTTACCATATAATTATAAAATAAATCAATTTGAATATAAATATTGTACTTATATTTCAGTGTATAGTTTATACTGCGCTATATACAAGTCATTGTCTGTATGAAAGTTTAGTTTGTACTGACTTTGCTAGTGCTTTTTCTGTAGCCTGTTGTAAAACTAGGCAAATATCTAAATGAGTTGATGTACACCCCCCCTCACCGACCAGGAAGACCTCTGCATACACATACTCCTGGCTGAGAACCACTGGTCTAACTTGACTTACT